CGGTGCTGCAAGTGGGTCGCCAATACTGCTGTGCTCTGTGGAAAAAATTTCTTCGCGCATCGAAACGGCAGCCGGTATAATTTATATCCTCCAGATGTCGCTTCGACAGTAGGTTGTTCATCATGGGGTAGTCACTCAGCGGCGAGAACACCCTAACCGGCCTGCGTAACAAACATACACCACGATATAACTGCGTATCGAAGTACGATAGATAGAAACAGACCATACACTGTTACCTTTTATGAACTCATGTGATAGAGCGTGAAGAGGAATCGCTATTGACTTTCTTTAGAAATTAGACAAAAGCAGGACGTAGCAAAAACCCAAGCGTACCGCACGCTTGGGTTTTTGCTACGTGGGCTTGGCTGCCATAGGCTTCGGATGACGGACGGGATGAGGCGTAACTTTGTGGTTACTTAGGTGGATGCCAGAAAAGTTAAATGCAACGTGGTACTGACCATATGGTTTGCACAGTAGCTCGACAGGTTTACCGAAATACCCACTTCGAAGTTACATACCACAGTGTCATTACATACAGCACAAGTATGGGGTCGAGAACGCTATCCGTATCCTAAGTTGTTTCATTTAACGCTTGGTCCGTATCAAGCACACAATCCATTTAGATCGCAAGGATAGCAACACTGTCATTAGGTTTGTTTAAATTCGATCTGCGCTCACAAAATCGTGTTCGACAGGAGACGGAGAACTGTTGACATCTTTTTTATTATATTTCGGGGAAAATAGTGTGGCTTAAGCCGTCACAAAAATGTGTCACGTGCAGGGCCCTTGACGCTTACCCAATATGTGGGCAAAAGTAAAGCGTTTACTTTAAAGAGTAAGACGATTCCTGGAGCAAAGTCCAGAAAACCTGTTAAAACGCACACAGCGGCGATAATGGAACGTAAATATGGAGATCTATATCACACGTAAACAGCGACTGACAGTATTGACGGTGTGCAAATCGAAATGAATGGAATTTATGTGTATCTCAAGAAAGGTGTCAAACCATTTTATGCTTATGTATGGCATGAACCCTACAATTGCCACTGATGGCAGCGTATATTGGTGAGCGGTCAACTTGTCAAAAACTTACGGTTGCGATCTTAAACGCCATATGCGTTCCTTACATGACGATGACTAAAAAGGCCATCATCAATATCTCTGTTCTGGAAATATGAAAGTCTTCAAGCATAGAGGCTTTTTTCTCCTTCCATTACTAGCATAGCCTTGCCCTAATGCCTGCAGCTGCCTGATATTGAACGTGCCTTGACTCTACCATCAGCCTCCTTCGTCGGGCCAATTCGGATCGTTCCCGCAGGACGAATGCGATCTGGTCTCCGTCTTCGATTCTCGCAATACTGCGGCAGCAGCTGCATCAATCACTTCTTGCCCGTTTTCCAAATAGGCGTTATCTGTGACCTTCATATGTTATGATTTCAAATGACCTATCTTTAAATTGCCAATTCAATTTGCTCATACTTCCTGTCGCCTGTCGAAGTTACGAGAAAAGAAAGATGAGAAGAGGCTGGTCAACATTTGCCTTTCAATAGTGCGACGAAACATTACTACGTTCTTTCGAGGTATGTTTCAGGGCTGCAGGCCGGCGGCGCAGCAATGTATCGCCCCCTTGCTGGACATCCTCGATGCTCCCTGATACGCCTCTCGTGTAATCTCGCACAATAGCGTCTGCATGTTACATTTTTATTCGTTTTCCATTTCTTTCCGTATAAAGTGGATTGCTATAAGCCGAGCAATATCGTCGAAAAAGTTTGACTGAAATTCGACTGAAGCACTGGTTTAAATCGTTTTTTATAACACGTCTACGCGATATTTAGAACGTTTTTACAAAAGCAAGATCGGGGCAGCTTTCGCCTTGGGATCAATCTGAATACAAACAGACTCAGAGGAAACCCCATAAACAGACCCTATAGAAGAAAATAGGTGAAGAACATATCTACTACTACTACGAACAGAAGCTCCAACCAAAATTGTAGACTAAATACGCCAGCACGCAATTTCTGAATTTAGTTATTTTCAAAAATAAAGCAAAAATTGACATAAGCCACTGCGATCGCTTTCTTTTTACTATTATTATATTCTGTTACTAGTTCGTAAGGAAAAGGAAACTCTAACAAAATTTACTTAATAGGCATCAGGCCATACAATATGTATTCTAAAATGACACTTTTTTGCAGGAATGATTCATTAATACGCTCACCTAATTGGGTGGCTATATTCAATATGCATTGTTTACGTGAAGCTCAAGTAACTACTAAGCATTCGATTATGAGACCCTCATAAGTTGTACTTTTGAGCCTGCGCTCTTATATATATTCATTTTGAGTTTGTATGCTTTTTGAATTGTGGTCCTATAATTTTTAGGTGATATTGTCACAGGTGTTACTTGTTTGCTGTCATACTGCTTCCCTATTGGTCTTTGTTTACCTACGCATAGGCCATCCTTAAGGCACGCAATTCTCGTCAACGATGCATTACCACGCCAACGATGCACCCCTCGGAACTTCACGTCAGTAAAAACGCTTCAAAATGGCATTATACTCAATGATGGGGCTACCTAAACAGCTTTGTACCAGCCACATCCATATTTAAGAAAAATGGTAACAGAAAAGTACTGCAGCATCTGCACTATTCATAAATGAGGATCACGCTCCAAGTTTTAACGGCCTGCCGAAGTCAGACAATCCAACTAGCAACGGAGGTGTAGATAAAATTCCACAAATGACCTTTTTTGTTGGTTGTGCGTAGCGGCCGCTTCAGGCCGCTCGTCGATCTAAGAGAGGGGGAAGAGAGCTTCGTAAGCTGGGAATATACCCGTTTGTATTCATACAGATGGAAGCAGTATAAGATATTGGCCTAGTTTTATTCCATTTTACCACTGCGTCGACGTCCGATCCATCCGTTTTCTAATATTTTTAGATCCAGTGTAGCATACATAAACCAGGTTCGCAGATAGCTATTCATACGCAACCTTATCGTCAATCCGAATTTCCAATCGAGGAATTTCGAGGATTCTTATCAGGACCGAGCGTGTGTGAGACTACACATCACATCTTAAGGTACTATGCATAGTATCGAGTGTATTGAAGAATGAAGAAGGATTTATAATCGGCTCTTTTCTGGCTTTAACCCCTTATCCTGTTTGACCTTGCTGTTTTAACTGGCGCGCAAGACAGAGGACCTTGTTCTTCCAGAGACCAAAGAGGTCCGTAGTTGAAGCTCACGTCCGGTCACGTACTGCTCATTATTTCCTACTTATTAGGTATCGAAATAGGCCTAGAAACCAGAGTTACGCAGTGTTCCAGTGTACTGGTTGTATGTATTTGTCCCGCCATTCACAGAATCTATGCGCCTTCTAATCAAGCTCAGTTATGTGTTCGGCCATGCGCTCAATATCGGTCCTAATCGTGCGGAAGTTTAACTTTGATGATGATAATAATAATAATCGTTTGTTTATATGAAACAACAAAGTAACGCACGAACGCACACATACAGACTCATTTAATCAAGTGCTTTTCTATGCACTTGTACTAATTGTGAAACCATATGGTTATGTCATATTATAGCTACGATATGGAGACACTGATAAACATAATATATCAAAGATGGAGTTACAATATCAGCGGTAATCCCTACCTTGAGATTTCAATGCTTCTTAGTTCTTGTTGGGCCAGCATCTAAACTAAAATGAATGCCCAAATTAATACAACTGAGTCCGGTAGCTTAAATGTATCAAACGTTTTAGTACCGCTACATGCATACGCTACCCTGGATAGGATCGTTGTATCGGTTGAAAAACTGGAATGAGCGGCCAGTTACTACGAAGACGCTAAATCAGTGTACTGGCCGCTGGAGCTATCCCACTGCATTAGCATCACAGGAAGGGTTTCAGGTCCCTAAGGGATCTCACGAGATAATAGTCGAAGGGACGAATCCATCGTTTACTCGGTTTCCGACGGGTCCCTTAAATAGATTCGCTGGGGCCCTGTTTCTCCAGCCGTTGACTTAATTACGGCCTTGCCGAGAAATTAGATGCTAAGCAAAGAGCGAGCTGACTGGGGTACGGTGACTAACTGTCGGCAGGCTCAACACCATCAGTGTTTTCGGCGTGACGAAACCAGGTAACCTAAAGATGCTGCTTTGACACCGTGGCGTTGAAACTGGTGGCTAATTCTATTAGCTAATATATCACTTTTCACAGATCAAAATGAGATATTACACTGGTTAGAAGGCCTAGTCTTGAAACTTAGCTATCTGCTTTTGTTGCAGCCTGAACTTTGTAACAGCAGTTACAACAATGGCTATCCGACGCTGGCCACTTCCACTGGGAGAAACACGTGTGATTGACGCTATGACGATTGTGCATAATATTGAAATACGCTGAACAGTATTTTGTAGCATTTCACAGTTGGAGATTTCGAATCAAGCCACTACAAACCATGATGAAGTGCTATCATCTGCGGATCCTTAAAAACAGCTACGTGAAGTACCACAAATATAGTTCAAACTTGGACTTCGACTTAAATTCAAACCATCTTCCAACCAAACTGTGTGCTGTGTTAATTTTCCAACAGCTTTGCTAACGGCTTCTGAACCTAAAATTACTAGACGCGCCTTACGAAAGAACGTTCGTTTCCTGTCAACGACAACCGATACTTTATTCATAAATTGCCTGTATCAGCCCATTCTGGCTATTGCAATTTTAACTCGTCCATATGAAAACAGTCAGTGATTTTGTTTAGCACCTCAATACTTCCAACAATCTACCAGTACCACGCCCCTAGTTTAGCTGATTTTTCATTGATTTCTTCCTTCTCACACAGCCATCGACCATCTTCTTTTACGGAAGAGAACGAGTAATAGGATGTAATTCTCTCGTCATGACTCTTTTGTATTGGTTCATTTTAGCCAGGTATAGCCCCACACAGTGTTCCGCAACAAGTGCCCTTTCCTGTCTAATAATAAAGATAGATGTTCACGACCGGCAGCAGTTCCGCGAAGAGCTTAGCTGGCTGGCTGGCTGGCTGGCTGGCTTGCTCCCGCAACAAGCAGCGTCTTCTTGCCCGGAACAGCATCGGACTGCTATGCATTGCCATCATTCTTGCCTTGCTCTTACCATCAAACGCCTAAGATCTATTAGGCATCAGCAAGGGTGGACGAAAGGAAACCACTCTATAGTGATCATCCAGGCTCGTAGCTGGTAGGAAAAAAGGCAACGCCTTCAGAATTGGCGAATTTTCTGCGGCTCTTGCTTGTCGACAATTCTGGGATGGTGTTGTAATACTGGAAAGCGAGAGTCCTTCGGGAGGCTTTCTTCAACGATAGCAGCAAAAACAGATGGTGCAAGAGAAGGGTCTTGTTTGTGAGCGAACCTGCAAAGTACATTGTAAAGACGAAACAGTTGACTCGATTAGCATCCTAATAGGCAGTAGCTAGATGTGCCTGAAAATTGGTTGCGCCGCGAAATACACAATAGCACTTAGCAATATTGACAAAGGCGAAAAGGGACCTTATGTTGCTGCAGAATTGTACGTTGATTTAATGCTAAATGAAAAATATAGAGCTGTTTCGGTATAGTTTGTAATTTGACATATATTTTTTAAACACCCCGTAAAAAATAAATCAGATTTATCTCTGACTGACTTTATTTACCGAACGAGCCTGACTTAACCGTTGTGATACTGCATCAGCTATCATGATTGAAGCCGACGTAACTTTATCATAAATAGCGTATCTCTTTTGTATGCATATAGCCACGACGAGGCGATACTGAGCTACGAGCAAAACTCACCAATGCGTTTTAACATTATCACGTATTATTAACTTATTACATATAAAATCAGCTTCCAAACATATCGTTAAAAGTAGCTATATTTTTGTAAAAATCCTTAAACGTACTAACTTCAAAAGTAACCATAGGCGCTATGTGCAGTGAGGTTTTCCTGAAGTACAAAGTGAGCACTCCATCGTTTATTATAGTAATAGCGGTGTCCTCTCCAGTTTAATCAATCAGATGTATGACCTTCAAGTATAGGGAGCGCGGGCATCGACATGAACGAACAGTATACTAAAAAGAAGTTTACAATGCGTATTCGCCAATAGTCGTAAAAATTTTTTTCACGAACGTAGTAACATACGTAACTTGAACGCCCGTTGAAGCGCTGCTAGCACAAGATGCGCTGGAACCGTTACCACTGGTGCTGACCCTGACCTATCGTTATAATGCTATTGTTAAAACAAAGAGCACAACGTCATCCTTACAGAAAACGCTATGGAAACTAATAATTTTAATGTAATTCAAAATTGAAGCACCATGCACGAGGTCTGTATCAGAAACGAAATATATTCGGTTTTTGATAAAAACAGCCTTCGTCCTTTAACACTTGTTCATTTTTCCTAGAGAGCTTACGAGAGAATAGAGAAAGATAGTTTGCGAGACAACGGGAAGGGCTCGCGCATGGCGGGGGAGCCATCGTTGTTCTTCCTTATTTTTTATGCTTCAGGTAAAACTAGGAAGGGATTTTATCAGCAGGTTATCCAACCAGCCCTCTAGTAACCTAGTAACTAAGTAAGTAATCGCGGTACCGTTTTTGGTGTAATTCTAGCCAACATTAAAATGGAGTAACATGAGCTGTTTTTGAATGAAGATAAGCCTTACTTGCCCAAGCAGAAGTTACCGCTGCTGCTACTTTTATATATATATATATATATCCCGCAAAAAATTTTCTCTACCGCGGCAGACCTTCACCGCTCACAGCTCGCGTTTTACGTCGTCGCTGGTCTAGTTAACAACGTTAGGGCTGCTTACATCGTCCAACGCCTCTGCAATATCTGCTGTTGGTGAAAACCGTTTTTCTTCCATAACGCTACGTCTCCCCAGAACCCTTGCCGTGCAACCTCGTTTGCATGCAAGTGAGCCTTCTAGTGGTTCTTCCACACCTCAGGCCTTACTAACTTCTCTAGCAGCGTTCACCAAACGGCCTGGGACAGGATGGACTTAGGGTGCTCTGAACGGGTTCAGCTTCGAGTTTCAAATTGTTATTTATAAACACACATGAGCTTGTGACAGGCAGATACATAGACACACAATGAGGCCCAGTTAGGTGGGAAGCTTCGTTTCTTTGCATTCAACCATAACGTGGCCGACGCTGCTGTCCTGAATATAACACGGAAGAAACAATACCATACGCATGTACTATCCGAAATGAAACGGTAAACATGTAATAAAAAATCAGTAGAACGGCGGCAAGCGTTAATAAAATATCTTGTTAACGGTTGGGTTACGAAAAGTGCTTAAAGGCTATGCTACTGATGTAGCATTGTATTGGGTAGTGCCTGCTTTATAAATAACAATGACAGTAAGTGATAACAGTAGATTGGCTGTATGCATTAGTATGACTGAAAGAATACTAACATTATTATTTTTACTATCGATCTGAAACCAGGCATTTATTGAGCTCTGCTGAAAAATACATAATCGTCTCATTCCCTCGCTAAGGGAAGCTTGTAGAATATTTGGGAATTGAAATGATCAAAACGGCTGTTTTTAGTTTTCTCTATTGAGGTTAGTACGCCTTTTTTTTGCGCTTACTAACCATAGGCGCGATCATCTTACTGATTTAGAGGCAAAACATAATTTTTACGACTGATAATCTTTAGACTCTTCGTTGGGTGGAAGTAGGACCGGCGCCTTGTTCTGTTTTGGGTTCATATATGTCTCAGACAACCAGCGAATAAGCTACCGTTACGATGTCGCTTTGCCACTAAGTGCCGATGCGTAGGCTCGGCAGCTGCCTGAGTTTTTTGGCGTTCGGTCTTCGCCGGGATGTGCCAAGGTTATGGCTTCACTTAAGCAGCAACTAGAGAGACTCACCTGCCTAGTTTGAGTAACTGAATCGTCTGCTCGATCAGATCCAGTTAATTCTACTTAACTTTCTATCTCGTCCTTCTAAGCTAGCTGCTTGATCGTGGCAATACTGCTGTACGGCAAGCGACTCAGGGGAACCCGCGTCCGTCATCCAATCTACGCAGCAGCCAAACCTCTCTCCCGCCACCTACAACTATTGTTACTGCCACTGCTATTGCGCCTACCGCTGCTTCTGCTGCAACTATATACAACGATTTGACCTGCGCATCGGTGGTTTCGAACGGGCTTTGCCTTCAGCGGCCTTTACCATTCGCGCACAGGCCAAATATCTAGTATGGCAAAGATCTCTGATGGAACGCTGGTCTCCTTTTCCTTATCTTTGTCGCCCTGTTTCCTTCTCGTATAGTATGTGAATCGCATGCAGGCCACGAGGCTCAGTGCTCGGCCTATGCTCGTAGTTCCTGGTGGTGATTCTGATCTCGCAATGTAACAGGGCAAGGGCTTCATATAGTCGTCGGGGCAGTGCAAGGTTCTATATAATATAACTGGACGATGAAGTACGTACGTATCCTGTAGCGGCCAGGCTTCGTAGTCAATAGAGAGCAGACCTCGTGTGAAATTGTACCTTGCCGCCTATGGGAATATACGATGGACTCAGTTAGTCGTCGGCCCGTTTCGGACGACCCTGAACCCACGCTCGTTAATCCTCTGTAGTTTACGATGAGCTGCATGTTATAAACATTCATATTAGCGACGTTTTCGGGCGTTAATTATTCCGTAACAACAATACAAGAGAGCGATAGGAAAACAGACGAATGGCGCTATTAAATCTAATGAGATATTATAGATAAACAAGAAGGGAGGCAAGCAAGCGGTAAGATATCGTGATGTTATTACTATACATGTACGTGTGTCTCACTGCTGACCTTGGGGAATGTACGGGTTCTCTGGCAAGATATGCTGACACTAATTATCTTGGCTATCAACAAGCTTATCAATTTGGGATGGTCCACTAACTAACAGCTTTCTGAATATCTAACGAATGTAGGTTGCAAGGAGATTTTTCTATGACAAGTCAAATTAATAGTGGAACTAGCGAGGCTGGTTTTGAGAAGCTGACATTTTGAAAGTCGACGGTAGTAAGAAACAGAGGAATCACAGTTGATGTTCGACCCACTTTCATTAAGCCGAAGGTTTTTTTATTTACGTAGTATGAATATCATGACTATTGCCATATTATCACGGTATTTTCTTTATAAATAGTTCGGACCAAGTTTGGGAACGGAAAGCTTTCAACTTTAAAGCTTTAGAAGATCAAGTATATTTAGTTAGCCTTGTAGCAGACTTTTGCTGTTTTCGCTACTAATTTTTCTATTACAACATCAGATAGTTAGACGGCTATGTTTACTCGTATCTAGTGCGGTGTCTTTCACAATAAACTCATTTGTCTTCACTGGTCGGTTAAAAAATTAAGCGAACTTTTTTTTATTACTAATAGCTGAAATAAGTTTAAGCTAAGTAACGCCTTTTGTATGAAAATATTTTCCACTATCTTGAAGTTGATGGCTATGTTTATTTTTCTTACTTGAGGACAATATTTTTTGACGTCAGTATCGAACGAATTTTTTAATATTGAATTCCTATAAGCTGCTAACGCGGTGCTCTTTTTGATGAGCTTTCTCCAAAAACGACTATATACGGGTACAATGATTATAAATTTCACGGAAATATTTTTTTGTTCATATGAAGTCAGTGTCTAAATCGATGAATAAATATTACTAATACAAAGGTCATGTAGAAATAGAAATGCACACCTTGTACATTTCCTACATCGTTCTACGGTGCTTTTGGTTATGGAAAACGAAGCTTTCATTGATATGATTGTGTAACAAACTCGACCCCAATCGCGAAAAAGAACCGTAATCAGAATACAGTCAACTTGAACTTGTTATGGGTCTATACGAAAGCTGCGAAAGTTCTTTCAAATGTCACAAATACATGGCAAGGCATCTGTGAAGATATGGCTGATGTAGAAATAGAAGCCATGCAGTGTTGTTGGGTTGATGTATGACCTCACACTGGTCTTAGCTACCATCCCTAACTCAATAGAACTTCGGTGTCTACTGCACCTAGCTTCGTTGGTCTTAACGCGCGTGTTGTGGATGCCGGGGTCTAAAGCTATTAAAGATCATAATAATTTTTAAAAATGTAAAATGTAAATAGAATGATTTTCAGCTATTAATATTCCGTACACCGTAAAAATCATTTTTCGAAGATCTATCATAGCTTGCTGAAAGCGAACGATGCACTGTCTACTGACAAGAAACATTGTTTTAATTGTTTAAGTTATTATAGTTATAGTCTACTTTTTTCCTCCGCTCTTTTCCGCCCGATTCCCTAACGTCCTTAAGTTTTGGCGAATCCTATACAAAACCCCGTCATTTTTCGCATATTCCTGCTGTTGCGCTTTTGTCATTCTTACCTCTTTGTCCAACGCTCCTACGATCAGGAGACGAGATCTCGGCCCTTGCGAATATTCTGCTCGTAATGACCGCGGTTGGCTTGGCTTTCTCGCTGCGTCGTAAGACCATGGCAATCAACCGGAAACCTAAAAAAAAAAAAGGAAAGAAAAGGAGGGCCACTATTATTCTGCTCGGTCGTTCTGGATAGATCAGTGGCCATCGATGGATCATTGCGCTGATGTACGGGCCATTCCCGTCGATCGAGCCTGACTAACCAGACCCGATCATCCAATTTAACTAATGTTTTCAAAGTCGCTCGTCGTCCAGTGAGAGCGAGGACATCCGACAAGGTTGCTCACAAATTCTGATCACACATTATGCAACTGATCAGACGTGTATTTGTATAACGAGTCAGCAAGTAGCAGGTGGAAGATTTAGGATATCTCATTTTTGCTAAACGAGTGCTTTTCTAAAAAAGGACGCGATGAAGACTACACTATATTTCCAGACTAGAAATATAACTAAGCGTGCTAACTTCTCGTTATCGAGCCTCCAGATCTTGTTTTTGATAAATGTTATACAAAGACATGAACAACAAACAAATATTAGACAGCAAAATTCAGATAACACACCAATAAAGTATACCATAGAAATAAAAAGTATATATTTCTGAGTTAGAAATCTACCAGCGAATCTGTTTTATGACCCTCACTAGAATTTTTTTCTTTCCAAAAATCCTGCCGGCCTTGACAACTGGATCAGCATTACAATGACGTAAATAGTCTCGAAATAAACATGACATCGCTACTTTGTCCTTAGACAACGTAATATTCACCTATCCTAATAATACGTATGCTATAGCTTTGTGTTATATTTACTCTGAGCCTCAAACATTATAATCAACAGGCTTGATATACACTATACTCGAAATCTACGCGTAGCTGAAGATACGCCCGTTGTTCTACGGCTCCGCACGTATTGGGCCTCGTTGTGCGGTTCATTCGCATATATTAATGTTCTTTTTCGTTACGCCTAAACAGAATCGTTTGTCCTCTTCCGATTTGATTGACAAAGCCGAAAGCCTTTGCGCGGCGTGGCCATTGCGTAGACACAGAGCTCAAAATGTTGAATGACATCCATCTGCTACTGATATTGTTAAGCATCGCAAGCAACACCGGCATTTCTGTGTCATTTCTTCGCACTTCCTTACTGCCGTCCTTTTCGCCATCTGCTTCCTCTTGACGACGATCCCAGCGGCGGGACACAGTGCTGCGTCTGTCAACCAACGGAATCGGCTGAGATCAGCTCGAAAGCAGAGCACGCCTTTCAAGTCGCCAGCACCACTAGCAATGGCAGCATCACCATTATCGTCCGATGATACGCGCTAGCCATTCCCTCATTTTCGTCTATGCGGGCGCTCGAAAGGCCAAGCGCCGTCACCCACTCCATCATACACTTCGACCATTGACATGACTCCGCCCGTCGCCTCCGTAGCGAACATCAGCGACAACAGCTAAGGCGGTGGCCCTGCACACCAGTGCCTCCAAGAGCAGCTTCAAGGCTACGGCGGTCGCGTCGGTTTGCTGGCAGTGGCAGGCTGAAAGCAAGTACTACACGCGGAGCCAATCGCAAACAAATGCGCGCGCGAGCAGAGAAGAATCGCGGATAAAAAGCAGTTTCTTTCATCCTGGCCATTTCTGAAACAAAGGCGAGGGTTATGGGAGAAAGAAAAACGGTTGCTCGCCTTTGGCGTCGCAAGGGAATACATAAACGCCGTTCGAGACAGGAGAACCGCTTGCAATGCAGCGTCCCTTGTTCAGCTACGGTAGTGTCCCTCTACTCGTGCGCCTAAAGCTCTGAAGCGGTGACGAAACGGGTTTGATGTTAGTGCCGGCATCCGTATCGTCGTCTGTTACTGTTGATGTTGAGGATGTCAGGATATCCGGAGAGGAGACCGAGGGTTCGAGGGGCAAGAGGAAATCGATGGATAAAGAAGAAATAAGATCTCTTGATGCGACTCCACGGCCTACGGAACGGATCACGTCACGGCGATAAAGATGCGAATCGCGGCAAACCTTTCGTTTCTCCCTCGAAAACTTCTCGAGGGTTGTGGAAGCAGAAAGGGTTAAAGGAGAACCCCGGTAGATTGATTCAAGACGAAGGAAAGGAATCTCTAAGAAGAAATAGGGCGAATGGCGAATGAATGGAACAGACGTAATCCATCCATTTTTGGGGTGGCTGGAGCGCGACGTGTCTCGTCAACAACACAAGACGAAAACAAGACAGGAATCAATAGTCTATCTCACCGAGTTTTGCCCATTCAGCAAAAGGCCAGGATATAGCTGAGCTTATCCATTATAAATTTGATTTAATAGTATAGTATTTATGTAGATTATACAGAAATAGGTACTATAGTGGAGATGCTGCTTTTCGTTGTTGCGTTCTTGTCTATTGAGCTACGTTCCATAGTTTGACCATAGATGACATCTGCATAAATATATTTTATAATATATAATAAAACATGTTGACATACGAGTGATCGTTATTAGTGAAGGTTGCAGCGAAAACTGGTTACGATCCAAATGGAGAAAACATTCAATCGTCAGCAGATAAGCAATAAACCACTTAATCATCATCATCTTGTAAGTACTCTGTACAAAGCTCATCAGTTAGTATTGTTGATGACAATATGGCGATAGGATAATTTTTGCCCTTTCCTAATATGCTATATTTTCTTATTTTTTTTTTTCTATCAGTTTTTTATTTTATTTTTCTATGTTTTTTTTTTTTTCGTTTATATCAATTGTTCACAAACAATGAGTGATGAGACAATCACCAGGCACTGAAGTCTATTGAAGTGGAACAGTGTTGTGACGCCTCTAATTCAACGTATCAGCCATAATACCTAGAACTGAGACATTTCAACTGCTTCTAGTCAGGTACTGCATACTTCTAATTCATATTTTTCTTCTTTAAAGAAAATAGCTTTTCTTCATACAGACCAGTTCGACCGCAGAGACAGTGCCGGCATCCATTAATCTGATCTCGGGTAAGCCAGTCACTGAGTCAGCTTCTTACCATTCGCGTAGCGTATATGGCAGCACTATAACATGACAGTGTTTCCAGTAATGTAGGCCGTAGGATATCTAAAATCTAACTGGAATGGATAAATTGTCCCTAGAGCGCACGCCTGATCTATGCCTCAATTAACGCTGTACGAACGCCTACGAATAGGGGTCCAATGCACGAGCAGTTTCTATAGATTCATTCCAACCTCGCTTCATCGGCGTTTTGCCTCGTAGTAGAATTCAAAGCATCTCCTTTGTTAGCGGAAGTTACCTCACAAAACAGGAAACGACTTTCCTTTCTACTGTAATAATAGCGTCAAATGTAATGACTTCTGCAATCTCATCAGCGAAAACTTGTTTGCTATTGCCATACCTGGAAGTTTAATGTCATCGAAATGCCTGCTATTTTTTGGCAGCATCAGTCACAACTTTCCAGTTAACGCCTGCTAAATCTGAATTAGCAGCTTTATAAAGCTTTGTTGTATTCAAAAAAGGTACCGTGATCGTATACTGCGTCTGCTAACGAAACGTTATCAAGGAGGGCTGCTGAGGGTAGTTCGACATAATCGATATAAATACGCACCAAGCAGTAAGCTTCTACGTATAGCGGTCCATTATACATCTATTGAGGTTTCGCGCACTGTTCCTGCAATGCGAATCCAAGCTAGGAGATGGCTTTTGCTATGATAAGGAGGCTTCATAACGGAGGTTGTGCTAAACTCATATGTGGTTATGGATATAAGTCCACTACTAGAATTGTACATACTACACCTTGCATGAGTGTAATTTGGTGGCAGGCTCCTGCAGGCCTTGCTCCGTTATTCCGCTGATTTCGCCTCCTTAGTCTTCGTTTCGTGGCGACCCCACCTCGACTTACGCCCCGTCGGTTTGGATTCTTTCAGGATGCAGTCTCCGGGACGCAGAAAGTTCCTCGAGGAAGTTGTCTCCCACGGGACGAAGAGACAGCAGTACATTCATTAAAGACACAGTGTTGAGTAGACGCATGTTTGTCCTCTGTCGTAGTGCGGCAGCTGATTTTGGTTAATGGCGATTCCCTTTCTTCTCTGTTCAAAGGAAGCAAGGTACAAGCCGAAAGGCAATGGAGCTGTCATTGGAGGCGGGCCCGTTCGTAACGATTGTAATAGCGGTAGTTAGTTTTCGCATTTCCTTTAACTTACCGCCACCAGCAATGATAAATAAGCATGGCTAGCATGATCACAGGTGTTCATAACCCGTACTCATCGCGATGAACAGACTTCGGTTTGAAATAACAACGCGTCGCAACGTCTAGATAAGTTGTCGAAAAGGGCCGCGCGTAAGTTTACGGTGCAGCTATTTCCGCCAACTCGATCACGATGCCTCTGATGACGATGGTAGGGAGCAGTTCAGCGAGTTGTTTAGATAGAGCGCCATTTTCCTGCACTGTCATGCCTTTCATATTTGCCCCACGGCCAGCTGACACGATGGTGGTGCACACATGAAATGGAGTAACGCGATCAAAACGTTTGTAAAGCCCGAATATATCAAAGGTTTCTCAAGAAACGAGAGCTCGTACGGTAAGCCGACAAACAAATAAAAATATAAAAAAAGACCAATTATTGCACATTTTACCCAAACATAGACCGCATATATACTGATAGTGTTGCTGTAACTTAACCTGATTACACGTTCAAAAAAATAACACACTTTTTTTTTTTTTATATTAATGGGATCTAAGCTCTTTGAAAAATGTTACACGTTGACCGGTGCATTTGTTTATGCAGTCCTGCAATACGCCAGTTGTCTCTAAGTCGGATCGGCAAAAACAGATGACTAATTACTGTATAGATGCGCTAAGATACTCAACAGATGACTTCTGAGCTCCAACGTCAGATACGCAAACAATAGAGGCTGCTATCACCACTCTCGTAACTGCACGATGTTTTTGTGACAAGTTATATTGTACGATGCTCCAATAGATCATATATTCCATCGAAGATCCAAATTGTTAACACCAGATTATGGAGTTGATCCAAGTATAAACTTTTTACGCAGATTGACCTTCTATATGTACGGCTCCCACATGCTAACATCTAATTAAGCTGCTTTTTCTATTCAGTAGTCGACTCTGTCAGATTAGCCTATAAAATGAACATAAAAAAATTACGGGTAGGTGTGTGTGTGTGTGTTGACTATATGACGAAAAAGGCCAACTCACGGATAGGGGGCGTTGGATCGAGCCATCTATTAGAAGCAGAAGCGAGTTATCAAACAAATCGTTTAGTCACTCTGTAGTCTAGAGAAAAGTAATCGACGTACCTGATTTTGTTAAATAACAATTACTTTTTGCTTCTGCTGGGAAGCGATCCTACATCAATCGACTAAACTGATTCTACGCGAGCGCTGTGTCCACAAATAAGATACTACCAACCATTCTACCTTGATACCCCTCTACAGGTTTACCTTGTACATCTAGCTTTCCTTGATGATTTGCATCTGTTTATTCTGGCCATCGGTGGCAGACACCCACTCTCGTATTGTCTACGCCAACGTATGAGCTCCAGACAGACGGATAACGGCTTCAATTCGCACGCATCAAAATGAAAAATCCCTGAGAAGATATCAGCTGAAGAAAAGACCAACAGTAGCACCAGTATCACAGACGGCCAGCGTAGAGAAGCACAAAGAACACTCTATTCGCACGTCCATACCCAGACTCTATTCACACATACGTTCGTCCATTTATCTCAGAGAATAGGATTTAGGGCAATTGTCGAGATATAGCAATGTGATTTTCGGGAAGTACGGGATGCTTTTCCCGGCGGCAAGCGGGGATGTATTAACGAGAAGCGAAAATAAACGAAAAAGATGCTTTTCTTAGAAGATATTTCTCTCCCCCACGCATCACGGAATTTGAGACTTTTCTAGTGCGCATTGTTGAGCTATTACGAAGTGGGGCAAAGACGGCTGGCATTGCTATAACCCAGTTTTCTTTTTAGAGCGGCCGGGCACATAGTCGGCATAGCTGGGGTAAATGTAGAGTTGAACGGCGGCAGGGAGCTGTTCTTGAAAAACATTCTTGGTAATAAATATTTCCAATCATGAATCTACATACTGCATATGTACATGAGTATGTGCTTACTTTCGTTTTACGCTGACAACATTATTAAAACAAAAATTTCCTCTACTAACATTAGATGGACGTGGTTGATAAGGTAACTGTAATTAATAATATGATCACGTTAAAAAAAAACTGTTGCAGGATGATGCCTGCGATTAAGTAAACTATATGTAGGATGCGAAAACTCAAGCGAAAGTTACCACACTAAACGTAACTTTGAGCACAAATAAAAATAAATGGAGAAAAATACTATCTAGATTTAAATAGACGATTATAGTGTGTTACTTCGCACATTATGTTCTATCGAAAACATATTTTCGTATAGAAATCTCTAGATAAGTGATTAAAAGTTATCCGATACTACTCCAACATACATTTTTCTACAATTAGTTATTGAAACAGATGTTGTTGGATTCTTCGACGAATTACCTGATTTAATCGTTCTCGAGTTTGTATGGTTACCGCAGATGTAGCGAAAATGTGCACTATATGTAGTACCTTTAATCAACAAGCCATTCATAAGCCTTAGGCTTAACCGCGTGTATGCTTTCGCTTTCAGTCGTTGTTTGACTCAGACAGGCTGGTGAGGATTTCGCAAGAGGGGATTTGTCTTGCAATGCTATTTTTCTGCCTGCCTCTGAATCGAGTCGTAGGACCAGAAGGATGAGATTCGGCATAAGTCAGTCACATAGAATCAAAGAGCAATCGAGTTTTTCCTAATTCACGTTAATTCCTAATTGTAATTAACATAGCCTTGTCTTTGGAGTTTTTGCTGGCGGCACTGCACCAGGGAGGCAAGGATTTAAAGCGGAGTCGATGAAAATAAGCTTAAAAAGTCTCACTTGAGCACTGGCCAGTAGGAGACTGGGGGCCTGTAGCAGGAAAGATGCCGACTCATTTCTAGTCCCATCTTCATATTAACGTTCCCCATTGATTTTGTTGTTGTCACGATCCTTTTCCCTTTTCGTGAGTTGTTGGACTTTGCAATGTGACGGCAAGAAGACAGCAGGCCGAAAACGGAGCTGCTGGCGGGTTGAGATCAAAATCGAGACCATTTCCATAGGTGGCTACGGAGCTGGTTGTGCAGACGTGGGAAAATCTTTAAATATTCATGTATATCGTTAGATTTCATTCCCAACAGGAAAAAAGCTATAAGTCCGCGAAGGTTATAAGACATCGATGGCAATAAGTATTTAACATATGAAACGAATATAAATTTATTGGAACGTAGGGTTAATATTGAATTTTTATTATGTCCTTTTCTCTTGCTGTACCTTTTGCCGCTTCTTGCCGAAAGAATCATGTCGTTGTCAAACGACGCATTCGTTTTTAGATATAAAAATATGCAAGTACGAGGACAATGTAAGGGGCATTGCATACGTTTATTTGAATAAGATTATTCTAAGCAAATCACAATGAAAACATGGCTTTACAAAAGGTATGCAGGCTAGACCCTATTGTATTTATTATTATTATTATGACTTGCAAAACATTCAAATCGCTGTCTGCATAATCGAGGGCCTTGTAAATCCTTAATCCGTTACGTTTGTTACCGCAACGTATTATATAGTCTAGGACCTATATAATACGTTGCGGTATATAAGAAAATATTGCGTCAGTTTCTATAGTTTATACTCCCATAGCTAAATGCTTATCTTAACGACAAACCATCGCCAGCTTTTTAATACCTGCTCATCAGAACGTCCGTTGAGTACCACCCCGCAAGGAACACCTTCGACGCAGCGCGTTACGGAAGAAATGTGTAGCGCGAAAAAAAACGACATGTTTTCGATGCATACGACGAGGTTGAGTCTGTGTCAGGGCAACGTAACTAAAGTAATTGAGGGTGTTACTGCTGACAGGTTGATTAAAGGTGGTCGCCGGGTGTCAGAGGATGTTGGTGCAGACAAGTAATGGCCAGCTTTCGGACCCGTCGCTTTACGTCATCTTGTCGAACGGGCGTCGGGTGACGATTGGACGACAGCCAAAGAACTTCTTACTTCAACTCGTTTTAGTCTCTCGGTTGATGGTAAAGGAAGGAACAGGGTCGGAGCTTGAGCCCCTGATTCCTAGTCTGTCTGACCCACCGCCAACAAGGACCATGTGTTAAAGGGATGGCCAACTAAATCTACTTCGCCTTCACACTACTGTGCACTCTCTAAATATATTACCTTAATTATCTTAATTATCACTCTTGACAGTCGTCACTTGAAGATCTTCTCTGCTAGTGATATAGAGTTTTTTTTTTTTTTTTTTTTTTTTTTTTAGAAATGCGACCGCTTAATTGAATGGAAACGTCTATTCAGGTAGTAATAATAAAGAAATACATGAAACGTATTGATGTAAATTTTTTATACTGGATCAAATAGATTGTGGATTTTTCATGGTTTTATCGAGCAAACAGTGCCAGATTATAAGTGCAGTTATTATTACTGGCAAGTATATCTTTGCATGTCCCTCATATGCGGCGACATTAGACTTATCGCCAATTCGAATTCCAGTAAAGGAAAGACGCTGTAAATATCGATATCCAATGTTCTCAATGAAAAATTTGTTACTTGTTAAGTAGTACTGTCCTAGATACGCAATGCTATACAGGATCTCCAAGAGCAATTTTGCCCCGAGGCAAATTTAGCTTCCCATTATCTATGACGACAAGAGAGAGACAACTTCTTAACGTGAATATCACTTCACTCAGTGAAGCTCTTGTAGGTCAGTCAGAGGAAAAAAACGATAAGCTAACCGCATTTAGGGCATTGCCGATGCGGGACGTGTTCGCTCGACGGCTACGAACCACTGAAACGCCTTCTGTACATATTAATATATAGATAGGAGCAGGCGTGAAAGAACATAGGAGACGATTCAAATACGGGGATATCCTTGCTCCTTGAATGGACTCGACGACATCAGTTCACAAGCAAACTGAAAGGTACGCCTCAAACGGCTTGTGGTTTCCTTGAAGTTTTCGCTGGACCGCTTTCAGCATGGAGTCCATGGGGAATTCAGGCAGCTAGGCAAGGGTAATGGGGTGAGGGATTTAAAATGAGGTTGTTGATGTGACGATCCTTACGGATGATTCGTTCGACACATGTCACATACCGTGGCACGATAGTGCCAATCGTATGTCAACGGAACAGGGCTAGAGAAGAGCTATAGCTTCATTGCGGTCCGAATTTCGGCCGGACGCCATAGTGCACTGCGCCAGCCGTTAAAACGCTGAGATATGATGCGATAATGGAATAAATGATCAACGGTGCACTTCTGTAACATCACGCTGTTGG